ATACTCAATATTCTGTGATAACCCATATGAGAAAAGAATCTAAAAAAGGATGAACGTCTATATACACACATATATAAGTGCATCACTTTGCAGTACATGTGAAACTAAAGTGAAAGTGTTAGTCGCTAACAAGGAGGGCTAACGCCAATGGCCAGCAACTCAGCCCTGCAGAGGGACAGAGTTTGCTGGAGAGGCAGGAGGCCCGCTGTGTGTGGCTTTGTGTCGGGGGTCTGGGCATCAGGCCTGTGGAATCCAGACCTGGGAAAAGCACGTGATCAAAGGGAGTCAGGGCACATGGTGTCCAGGTGGGGACAGCAGCTAGTCATCTCCAGGGTGGGCCAGGCCAGAACTGGGAAGTCTCAGGGGTCTTACATTCTGGTTCCATGTTTGGGTTTGTGAACCTCCTAGATTCTTTCACATCACAGCTCACAGTGCTAACCCCCATCGACAACTGGAAATGGCAAGAGAACCTCTTTCACCCTCTACTGTGTTTACTCACACAGTACCTGTGTTTACTGTAAAGGAGAAATGCCTGAAGGAATTCTGCCCACTGTCACAGGTCAGGTACTGAAGGGTGAATCGGGCTGAGGCAGTGTGTTGTTAACCGGCACCGCCCATGTCTTTGGTTACTCAGCTTCCCTATGTACCCCCATGTACATGTGAACTTTTTACAGCAGCAGAAGGATCCCATGTTTCTACCTGATAGATACATCAATCCTTTTATGTGTCCACCATTCCCCCCCAAATTAGATGACTCAGCCCCAAGTCATTGCATCCATCATGGGATCTGTTAATTATCCCTCCAATTCAGTCAGGCAGTCACTGAATATTGTTACCTTTAAAAGCTAAGTTGTAAAATTAACTTCCAATAACTTGTATATAAAAATAAAAATAGGAAGCAGGATAGAGAAAAAGAAAATGGTTGAGTATATACAAACAGACACACTCATATAATAGACATAGAGAAAATATGCAAAGCTACTATAGACATTGTTTCTGTAACTGGTCTCAAGATTTTTGCTTAATTACGGATTACAATTTTACTTCATCCTTGGTTAAAACCTGAGATGCTTTCGGTTCTTCACCTGGTGGTGTTACTAAAACGATCTCCCAGCGGTCTGTGTCTTGAATCATTCTACTCTTTGTCGTTGTGTTTTCCATTACCTTCTACTATTGTGTGGTGGCAAGAGTAAGGGTCCCCCAAAGATGTCCACATCCTAATGCTTAGAACCTGTGACAATACTGTTAGGAGACAAATGGGAATTAAGGGTGCTCATCAGCTGACCTTCAGATAGGGAGATTATGTTGAATTATCTTGTCTTAGTCTCACCATGATTCTTAAAAGTGGCAAAGGAATGTAGGCGAACCAGAGATGGCAGTGTGAGGACTCAGTGCAGCATTGTGGGCTGTGAAGGTAGAGGAATGAAGCCATGAGTCAAGAAATGCGGGTAGCCTCCAGAAGCTGAGAAAGAAGACAGACTGTCCCCTTAGAGGATCTGGAAGGATTGTAGACCTGCCAACATCTTGATTTTAGCCCAGTGATGCCTCTATTGGACTCCTGACTGCCAGAATTCTAAGATAATAAATTTGTGTTGCTTTAAGCCATTTAGTTTTAGTTTTGTAGTAATTTAAATTTTTTGAAATTTATTTTTAGCTGTGCTGGGTTTTCATTACTACACTTTTCTCTAGTTGTGGGGAGCAGGAGCTACTCTTCTCTTGTTGTGGAACATGGGTTCTAGAACACAGGCTCAATAATTGTGGCACACAGGCTTAGTTGCTCCATAGCATGTGGGATCTTCCCGGACCAGGGATCAAACTCATGTCCCTTGCATTGGCAGGCAGATTCCTTACTACTGTACTAACAGGGAAGCCTTGTGGTTAATTTTTTAAAGAAGCAGTAGAAAACTAATAAAGAGTGTCAAAGAAAGTTTTTATATCCACAGATTGTCCAGAAACCTGATCTGTAAAATAGAGAACCAATTAAAATCCATAATAAGTAGTCACTGAGTCACTTAAGAATTGTTAATTTTTTATTTGAAATAACAGTGTAATAGGTAGACAGTGTACAGCCACTCATTGTGCACCAAGAATTTCTTCTCACAGAACAGTGATGGATTCCACCCAAACTATCTGTCCCAGAGGACAGAGCCTTACTCATGGATACCACAACCTTCTTCGCCTTTTCATTTGCCCTGCATCTGCAAGTGCTACAAGCTGAAGAGCAGCATATGCAGAATGTACAATACTCGATACTCCACACCAAAAAATTTTAATCTCTTAAAACTACTAGCATCTTCATTCTCCTTTCAAAAGAAAATTACTTTCCCTCACTCTTTCCTAAACTCTTGCTTTGATGCCAACAAAAATAGGTTCAGATTTAACTATTTTATTAGAAGCAAAAAAATCTGAAATTGGGAAAACAGAGTGTCACTCTCCTCCTCTAAATTCATCCTTCAACTGCTCCAGCTGCTGAGGTGCTACACAAGTTGACGAAATCTCATTATTGTGTCTTCAACACCTTCCACAGAGATCATTAATTCAACCTAGGAAACATCCCCCCGCCAAACTCAGCAATCTTTAGCTTCCTCTTTTTAGACACAGTGTTCTGAACAAACTTATTTTCCCAAACTTTAGAATCTGGTTTTTCTCTCAGAGGCCAGTTTTAAACTTTCTCACACCATTGAATTCTCATTCACCTCTTTTAAGGACCTCCAGAATGGACAGCATCAACATGCTCTAGGATTAATATAGCCATACTAGAACCATATCCCATCCACAAGGGGGGCTCACCCATGCTGGAAAAGGTGGGACTGAAAGTTCAATCCTTTTATATGATGTAAGAAAGTCTCTCAGTACAAATCATTTGTTAAAAGCAAAGGTACAAGGCATTACCCGTTCACTGCCTCAAAGATGGCAAAAACCTAAGTTACAGAGATGGCACGAGCTTCATATCAGAATTACTAAATTCCTGAATTACATGGCACTTCAACAGAATATGACCACCTCAGGATCCATGAGGCGTTTACCCAGAAGCAGATCATATCCAGGCACAGGTTTTTTGACAGTGTACAAAATCAGTAACAAGACTTTGAAATCCTACAAGTACATTTTAAAGCATGTATGAAAAAAAAAAATAAAGCATGTATGGTTTACTCATTGAGGAATAAGGCCACCATACTATAAAGTAAGTAAAAGAAATCTGGAATTAGTTTTATAAAGTTGAGTGAAGCTTTGTCAAGACTTCAGGTAAAGTTCTGGTCATCAATATTCCTTTTAGGCAGTGCAAGTGTCCCTCTGAAGAAAATGGCATGGTGGTCTGAGAGAATCAAGAACACTGTGCCAGCAGACAAACAGGAAAACGTGTTGAATTTCTTGCGGGCAAATCAACTTCTCCATTCTCAGGGTTTAAGCTTGATGGTATATAGCCCTTTTGGCATTAAGGCAAAGTTAAGCAAACAATCTGTAGACTTGATATGGTGTTCAGTCTCATCTATGGATGCCCAAGAGGATGCATAAACTACAGGCTTCATTTAGAATTTATTGCCAGGGCCCTAGCAACTATTGTTTTATTGCCAGGACTTCAGCAACTAGTTTTTTCATTGGTTTAGCCAGAACTTCAGAAACTGCTTTTTCCCATCAAACTGCTGAATCTGATCAGCAGAAGAGTAATTTTGTGTCTTTTGATGTTAATATTAATACACTTACAACGGAAAGGTATGAATGAATGTAAGAAAAAATGTGATCAACCTCCTTTACAAAATATAAACAATTCAAATATACAACAGGAAAATACACCAAGATACTCTACACACTATGGACGTGATTTTCCAACTTTCTGGAAGCTCGCCATCAAACTGCCACCTCTCTCCTCAGTTTTGGAAGAGATTATAGTTGAAAATTATCCCAGCATGGAAAAGGAAATAGTCAATCAAATTCAAGAGGTACAAAGAGTCCCATACAGGGTAAACTCAAGGAGAAACATGCTAAGACACATACTAATCAAACTAGCAAAAACTAAACACAATGAAAGAATATTAAAAGCAGCAAGGGAAAAGCAACAAGTAACATACAAGGGAAACCCCATAGGCTTAACAGCTGATCTTTCAGCAGAAACTCTACAGGCCAGAAGGGAATGGCAGGATATATTTAAAGTGCTGAAAAGGAAAAATCTACAACCAAGATTACTGTACCCAGCAAGGATCTCATTCAGAATTGATGGAGAAATAAAAAGCTTTTCAGACAAGCAAAAGTAAAGAGAATTCAGTACCACCAAACCAGTTTTACAACAAATGTTAAAAGGACTTATATTGTCAAGAAACACAAGAGAAGAAAAAGACCTACAAAATCAGCCCCAAACAGTTAAGAAAATGGCAATAGGAACATATATATCAATGATTACTTTAAATGTAAACAGATTAAATGCTCCAACCAAAAGACACAGACTGGTGGAATGGAAACAAAAACAAGACCCATATATATGCTGTCTATAAGAAACCCACTTCAGACCTAAAGACACATACAGACAGAAAGTGAGACGATGGGAAAATATATTCCATGAAAATGGGAAGCAAAAGAAAGCTGGAGAACCAAACCTCCTATCAGACAAAATAGACCTTAAAATAAGAGTACTACAAAGGACATGGAAGGACACTACATAATGATCATAATGGCTTGGAGGGAAAACTGGCTCCCTAACTTGCACACCACAACAACTGAACTGGATAAGATGAGGAAATGCGGAAAGTCAAACTGGGAAGGCTCTTTAGTGGTTATTGAGGAAGCATTCACTTTCTCAAACCAGAGCACCTGGACTCCATTGCAGCCTCCCCTCCCCCATGGATGTTCCTAAATGGTGCTTTGTGATGTCAACCATGTCAGGGCTACCATTGGCTGGGGAAATTTCTTGCTGACCAATCAGCTGACAGTTGTGGCTCTTCATTGTCCTGGGAAGGTATACATAGAGACCCCAGGCCCTTGGTGTAGGCCACTGTTTCTACAATATGGCAGACCTAACTGAGGAAGTGGAGGAGGAGGGGGAGGAGGAAGAAGAAGAAGAAGAAGAGCTGGCGATACACAGTGTCAATTTGGAGGAAGAGGCGTCGAGCTCAAAGCAGAGGAAGAGAAAGAATTCTGAGCCGTCGTCAGACGGCTTGCACCGTAAAAAGGTCAGATTACCCTATTCATGTTCTTCCTCTTCATCCCCCACCCAAGAGGCACCCTGCCCTTGCCTGGCACAAATCCCTCCTCAGTGCACACCCATTCTCTCAAAGTTCTCCTTCCCATCCTCCTTCACTAATGTCTTTTTGGATGACTTTGTTTTCTTACCAGCTGTTCAAGCTCATGAGGGAGGTAAGCTCCACCCTTGAGCAGATTCAGGAAGTGAGGGAGCAAGAGAAGAAGTCGACAATACTAATCTTCTACCACCACCCTCAGAATGAAAAGAACAATGAAAATCACCTGATGGCAGATGAAGAAATCCCGGAGGATTCTTCCAGCACTTCTCCCAACAATTCTCCACAGTAAGCCCCTGTGCCCACCTGGAGCCCAAGACGCTGACCAATTGCCTGCAGCTCCAGGAAAAGCAGTGGCAGAATAGGCATTTGTGCAGGGATCAAACATACAACGATGGTCCCCTCTGCACAGACCAAAGTACTCAGATCTCAATGATTAAAGTATCAACAAGTTGTAAAAAGATGTGTGTGTATCTGTTTTTTTGATGATGGGGAGGGAAGGAAGGGAAGGGTCAGGTGTGTGAGAGGGAGGGAGGTGGCATCCTTTCCGTTTAGGGCCCAGACCAGCCAGTCCATACTTACTCAGATACTGGGAATGAGGACTGGGTGAAGACTGAGAACTTCAGACTGAAGATTTCTGAGCACTGAAGATTTCTTCCTGAACACTTCATCCCACTGGTGAGAAGGAAAAGGACTTGGTATTTCTGTGTGTTTCAGAGGTCCCATGTGGGGAGAGGGGTTATGTAGGGTTGGTGGCCCTGTGTAATAATCAGATTCCACTTTTGATGTTTGACAATTGAGTTTTTACCCCTCATCAATGTCTGTTCCTCTTCTGGCCCACATTTGGGCAAGCTATAAAAGCAGCCAGGGAATAAAGGAACATGAAATAGAAACAGATATACCTAAACTTAACCACTGGAATTATTGCCTTGCCTACACTTCCCATAGCCAAAACATCCATTACCCCCATATAGCCTCTAGTACACGTGGATAATCTAACTCAATGAGTAATAAAATTAAGTCTTTGCCCCTATAATCACCTTTAAAATATGAGACCCTATGGACCTTTCCCCTTAGCTCCAATCACACTTTTCACCTCAGTTGTTTTTAAAAAGATTCAATCTCAGTGAAAGCAGGGTCTTTACAGATTGAAACCCATTATAGGAAAACTACTTAGCAAGGTGTGATTATCCCAACTTCTGCTGCACTTAACAAATTTTACTTGATCTTAAAGCTGTAAAACAAGAACACGGCCTCAGTGTGAACTTCTACGCTTGGTTTCGTGGCCCCACTCACTAGGGCTCCACGTATTTTGCTGATAATACTGCTCTCAACGAATAATTGGTAAATACTTTTCAGTCATAACAAAACATTTGGCTAGCATGCTGTTTTCACTGCCTATTTCAAAAACTTCTCAGCTACACTTAACCTTCACCTTCACAGGGAAACGATACACCTTTACCTGTCTACTCAATGGGGCCAGTGTCCACACCTGCCATCTCACACAGTCTCTGAAGGCAATATTTTCACCAGCTCTATCTTTTTCCAGGTACACAATTAGGACCTCACACTGATGACATCCTCCTTTGAGGAGATTCCTACGACACACACACTACACAATCCCACCACGTCAATTAAGTTCCTGAAAACGTTTTGGTAAGTGCTGGACTGCTCCAATCTTCAGCGTCCAGATACAGCTTTTAGGCTTCTTAGTACCCATACTGTTAAAACAAGCCCAACATGTTTTAGACATTTTTACATTCTGGAGGCAACATTTCCTCATATGCACAGTTTTTGGCTCGGTAACTTCCAAACAGGCCCGCCTTGAATGAGATTCCCTATGTCAAAGATTCTAAATCTGCCTGAATTGCCATAGAACAGGTACTCCTATTAGGGTCCACTGAAACTCCTTCACTGTGCAAGCTTTAACAACCTTCTCTCATGTATCTTGGAGTCTCTGTACTGTCAACAATGGCTGTTAAGTTTCAGGGGCCTCTGATATAAGGAACTGCCCACCTTGGCCCCATGCTATATGACTGTAGTGTAGCAATTTTGGGTCTATGCTGGACTTGCCTGGAAATACAGACTATCTCAGGTCTTGAACCTATGACCCTCCATATCCAGCTGCCCATTTGGCCTTTGATTATGGAAGTATCACTCTGCAAGCTCAGCATAGCTAGTGAGGCCTCCTTGCTACAGGATGGAGCTGAACCTGGGTCCTCTGCATACCCTATCTTCAGGAGAGGGTACCTTCCCCTGTGCTCAGCCCCCCTCGGATGTCACACTGCTACAAGAGTTCTTCTGTGAGAACCCTTGGACACATGGGGAGCCTGTTAGGATCAAAACAGCAAAAACCAAAGGGAGTTCATTCCCTTAATCAATGCTATCGTCACTATCACACTTGATGGAGCTTGCTTGAGAGTTGCTGCTTTTCAGCTCTTCATCAGAATGTTCCTGATAAAGGACAGGCCCCAAAGGTCAGATCAAACAGCCAAACTTCAGGTAGCTACCTTAGCACACAATGTCTGGGCCAACAACTGGCCTCATCTTTACACTGCCCATGGGCTGACCATCTGTTCTGACCAAGTCAAACAACTCCTATCTGAGGTTGTCTCACTTAGGGTAAAGGCCTCATGGAATCTCTTGCATCCTGAGAGATTATACCCAAAATATAAATCAAGATCACACATTTTCTACACATATTAAAGTCACAATACAATGTCTCATGATGGCACTCCTTATTCTCTTTGGAGTTCTACACGTTGAATGAAACCTAGACACTCAATTTGCTATTCAGAATACAGAATAGTAACTCTTGAACAAGATATTCAATGGGACACCAACCTGCTTTACTGGTATCTTGCTGCAGTTGCCAAAATGTTTTCCATAAATAAGTCTAAATTAAAATAACTATTCAATTCTTTGTCAAACAAACATCATGGGTAAATTGTAATACAGATTGATCCCATTGTTTATTCAATTTTATTGAGTTATAATGGGCAAATTAAAATTGCAAATATTTAAGGTATAGAACTTCATGTTTTGATTGTCTATATCCATACCTACATCTATAGAATGAAAAAAAATTACAATCATCTAATTACCCATCACCTCACAGCTACTATTATTTCTCTTTTTTTATTGGCCTAACTCTATTTTTGATGCATAACTCATTATGTGAGTAACAATCATTTTCATATTTTCTTGATGTATGTGTGGCATCATTAGTCTTGACACTGAGATGAAATTTGGGATGGAGGGGGTGTACGACGTTTCACTTCTATGAGATGACATCAAACTCCCATAATTCACAAAAGCATATATATTTGTGTGTGTGTGCATATACATATGTATATATACATATGAGTATGACACTTTAAGAAAGATACTAGTATTTCAGGAAACAAATATGTCTTGAGTGCCTAGGAAGTGTCAGATATTGTTGGTTCTGGACTTACAGAGAAGGACGTAAAGTCAAAAGTTCTTGCCATCAAGTAATTTCTATTTTCATGGGCGAAGGGGTGGTTCATGGTATTGGTGTGGGGCAGAGAAGAGCTGCTTTGGCTAAAGGGTGTGGGAAAACCTTCTCTGAGGAGTTGATATCTGAAACAAGATTTGAAGAATGAGATACAGTCAGTTGTGTGAAGATTTGGAAGAAGAGCATTTTAGGGAGAACAGCAAATTGCCATGTCATGAAGCAAGAACAAGAAGAGTGTGCTGAGGAACTGCCAAAGGCTGAGTGTAAATCGAAATCAGTCAGAGAGGAGCAGAGCAGAGAGAAGACTGAGACCGGAGAGGCAGAGAGGAGGTCTTGTAGGGACTTGTGCGCTAAGAACGGGGATTTCATCTTACGTGCAGTGGAGGGCTGCTAGATGGTTGATAAAGAAAGTGATAGAGTCTGATTTATGTCTTAGGAAGTTCACTGACTGTTGGGAACTCTGTAGGAAAAGAGGACTCTCAGGCTCTTGGCACTACAGAAGTATGACCTGATGATGACTGAGACTACTAGGGTTGTAGCAGAGGGAATATAACAGTATCTAGTTGAGCAGTTGGGACCACAGGATGTCAAATCTAATCTCAATTTATAGCTTCACCACCTAAAAGCTATTTGACCTTGAGTAAGTTTCTTAACTTCTGTAACACTTAGTTTTCTCATCTGTAAAATGGGAATGATGACAGCATGTATCTATATCTGAGAGTCATTCTGGGATTGAATGGGACAATTTATGTAAAACACCTGATATTATATTAGAACAATAATATGCATAGGAATAAATGGCTTCTCCTTTTATCAATAATATAAATATGTACATACATACATATGTACTTACATACTTCTTGCTTCTTTCTCCCCTACACATCCCCACAAACCTAGGATGTCCTCTGTCAGCTGCTGTTAAGCCGTGAGGAATGAGCCCTTGTTTTTTCCCTGAAGACACAGTACTTGGGGGTGCCTTTTCTCAGTGGTTAGGCATAGGTACCTTTAGATAGTAAATGTCTGTCTATGGGCTATGATTAATTTATTTAACAAGTAGCAGTAGTATCTGATCTCTAACATTCTCTTTCTACCTAATGAGTCATTGCTGGCATACCTACTCCATTTTCTCCAATCTCTTCCATGGGTCCTAAATGAACAGCAACCCATATTTCTTCCTTACCTGCAAACATAACATGCTTAACTGGTTTTCCATATGATGGTAGAAAATCAAGTCCTGGTCTGACAGTAGCTCAGATCATGAACTCCTTATTGCAAAATTCATACTTAAATTGAAGAAAGTAGGGAAAACCACTAGGCCGTTCAGGTATGACCTAAATCAAATCCCTTACGATGATATAGTGGAAGTGTCTAATAGATTCAAGGGATTAGATCTGATAGAAAGAGTGTCTGAAGAACTACAGACAGAGGTTTGTCACATTGTACAGGAGGTGGTGATCAAGACAATCGCCAAGAAAAAGAAATGGAAAAAGGCAAATTGGTTGTTAGAGAAGGCCTTACAAATAGCTGTGAAAAGAAGAGAAGCTAAAGTCAAGGGAGAAAAGGAAAGATATACCCATCTGAATACAGAGTCCCAAAGAATAGCAAGGAGAGACAAGAAAGCTGTCCTAAGTGATCAATGCAAAGAAATAGAGGAAAACAATGGAATGGGAAAGACTAAAGATCTCTTCAAGAAAATCTGAGATTCAAGGAAACATTTCATGTAAAGATGGGCACAATAAAGGACAGAAATGGTATGGACCTAACAGAAGTGGAAGATACTAAGAAGAGGTGGGAAGAATACACACAAGAACTAT